GTCATTGTGCCTGGCCCGGGTGCGGGGCGCGGGCCTGCCCGGCGCAGCCCCTCCTGCGCGGGTGTTTTCCAAACAGGCTTCCTGCGGAGATGGGCTCTGCTGCAGCCTAGCTGGAGGGGGGAGCGCCGCCCCCACAGGCCTCCAGAGACCCAGACAGCTCGGGGACTGCAGACAGACACCTGAGGGAGGAAGGGGGCGCGCACCCGGGATGGGTCCAGAGGCCTGGCCGGAGGGCGAGGCCAAGATGGACAGACTGAGGCAGATGGATAGGGAAGTGGAGGTGGACAAACAGGCGGAGATGGGGAAGAAGGTGGGAAGGGAGATGGTGAAAAGGACAGAGGCGGGGAGGACGGAGAGTCATTGAGAAAGCAGACAGACAGAGGCCAGACCTGCGAAGAGGCGGAAAGATTAAAAAGGACAGATTCCAATAACCTGCCAGAAGGAAGGTCCTGGGGCTGAGAGCTAAACCCAGGAGCCGAGTCTGAGATGAGGAGTTAAGGACCCCCAACTCCTGAGGTACCCTTCTTCCAAAAACATCCCAGACTGGAGTCCTGGCCAAAAAGAAGCCTCTGGCCATCCCAAGTTAGTTCATCCCTCCGACCCCACCACATTTTCCCATCCTCTGTGGGCTTCTCCCTCTTGGTTCCATTCCACCTATCAACTCCCTTCCCTGGTATCCCAGCAACCCAGGGCAGTTTAGGAGAGGCAGAGGTGAAGTGGTTGCCATAGCAACAGAGGCGGTGAAAGGTCATTCTGGCATTAGCCTAGGTGGCCCAGCAGCAGGCCAGAGCTGGCATTGAGGGGGGATGGGATGGGAGGCTACAAAATTCTTTTTCTCCTCTCCCATTCTGCCCAGAATGGTGCTGGAAGGAAACCCCGACGTGGGGTCCCCCCGAACCTCAGACCTCCAGCACCCTGGGAGCCAGGGCTCCTGCATCCTCTCTTCTGGTGAAGATGTGCAGCCAGGCGAGGAGCCCATCAAGTATGGCGAACTCATCGTCCTGGGGTGAGCGTCCCTGGCCCAGGTGGGGTGGGGCACCAGGCTCCCTGCAGGGCAACCAAACCAAGGGCCCCAGTCCTCCCCATCTATGACCTTCTGCTCTTTGTCCTTCCTCACCTTCCCAGCTGAGAGACAGAGTTGACCAAACCCACTCAATTCATAATTGTTATTTTATCTTCCCATTTTTCATAAATTACGAAGACAACTCTTAGCTACCCACCTGTTTCTGATCAGAAAAAAGTAACACAGCTGCCTTTCATGAACCACCTTGTGAGTGTGTAGTTTGAGGGGAAGAACTCTGGTTCTCTATCAAAATTGCTTGGTTCAAGTCCTGCCTCTGCAAGTTGTTTAACTTCCCTCTGCCTCCGTTTTCCCCTTTTACAAATAGGGATGATGATGATAATACCTCAGAGGGTTGTTGGAAGGAAGGAATAAGGTGATTGCTGTAAAGCACATAGAACAGTGCCTGGCACGTATCAAGTGTTCTGGGAGGCAGGCCTGTGCCAAGCCCTTTCATGGACATTATTTCATTTCAATCTTCACAAAGATGCTGTGAGGAAGGAGGTGAGGAAACCGAGGCTCAGAGAGGGGAAGTGACTGGTCCAAGGGCACACAGCTGGTAAGTGGCAGGGCTGGGATTTGGATCCAGGTTTCTTACTCTAGGTCTAGTGCACTTTCACTAAAGCCACAGCTGATTTTCATGCTACAGATGAGAAAAATGAGGCCAGAAGAGAGGAAGTGATGCAAGTTGGTGGCTGGGTAGACTTCCTGGTCTCTGTCTGGTCAGGATCCTTGCAACAACCACTTTGCTTTTCCCCTAGACACAGATCCCTCCTTCTCCCCCATGAATACTTCCTTCTGGCCTTTCTCTCCGCCATCTGCCCTGAAGAAAATATCCGAGAAGCTATATTATCATTATGATGATTTTGTAGAAATAATACTGGCTACTGTTTGTTGACATACACATGCCATGTGCTTTAAAAAAATTTTTTTTTATTGATTTCAGAGAGGAAGGGAGAGGGAGAGAGAGATAGAAACATCAATGATGAGAGAGAATCACTGATCAGCTGCCTCCTGCATGCCCCCTCCTGAGGATGGACCCCGAAACTTGGGCATGAAATCAAACCATGACCTCCTGGTTCATAGGTCAACACTCAACCACTGAGCCACACCAGCCAGGCCCATGTGCTTTTAAAAATAATAATAGCTAACATTTATTAAGGGTCTGCTATATATATGCCAAACTCTGTGCCAAGCATTTTTAAAGGCTTTATCTCGTCTAGTTCTCACAATGAACCCACAGGTAGGCCCTGATAAATTAGCCCCGTTTTACAGAGGTCATGTGATAAATGGACAAGCCAGGATTTCAGCTAGGCCCTTCTGAGCCCCAGCCTGCGTCCTGAACTGCCCCACCCCATATGTGGAAGGAGCTTACAAGGGTAAGAGTGATGCCCCTCTCAGGGGTGCTTGCCTTAGAATAGCAGCTGCTTGGTGTTCCAAAGTCAGGGCTGTCTTTGCAGATGGAGGTGAGACCAGTGATGGGGGAGAGCACAGCCCTAGGGTCAGGTCCTCTTGACAGCTGGTGGTTCAATGCCGAGCATTGAAGCCCACACTGTCTGTACATCTGAGCCACCTGGAGAACACATGGAAAGTGGCCAGTGACAGGCCCATCCCACACCTACAGAATCACCATCTCCATGGGTAGGGCCAGGGAATCTGTATTTTAACAAGCTCCTAGAAGGTTCTGATCAGGTGGTCCTTGGCTGTATTTGGCAGCTCTTCATCCTGTCAAACCATCCATTGCTCCCCACTGCTTACAGACTCAAGGCCAGACTCCTCAGCCTGGTTTTCTGGGCCCTTCCACGAACCTCATCTTCTCCTGTTGCACTTCACCACCTGAGTCACCATGCCCTGATCTCATCAAGCTCTGCCAGCCTCAGGGCCATTGCTTACGATGAGCCTTACCTCTGAAAGGGCTTCTGCAGGAGAGGCTGGAGTCAGACAGACCCGAGTTCAAATCTAGACTTTTTCACTTATTGGCCTGGGACCTCGGGCAAGTCATTCTACCTCCCTGAGCCTCAATTTTCCTCATTTGTAAAATGGGAAGAAAGACACTTGCGTGGCAGGACATCGCGCAGGTCCCATTAGGTAATTAATGAAGCACCAGGAACATGGGAGGCTCCGGTATGTGGCAGCAATCAAGTCTGTGACTCACCCCATCCTTGCTTTCCACATCATTCCCTCCGGACAAGAGCTGGAAAGGAAGGTAGAAGTTTGATGTGAATGGCTGTATGGAGGGCGTGGCATTGTGGGTCTATTTTTTTTCTTTCATTCTGGTTTCCGGTAGTACTGTGGTGTCATAAATGGCAGTTTGCTAAAGGTGACTCCTTTCCAGTTCTTCAAGGCCCAGCAGAGGTGTGCTCTCTCCTAGAAACCTGATCCTGGGGCCAGAATTCCCTTCTCCGGCCTCTGAGCTTGTAGTGCACTTGACTTGTGCCTGGGTCATGGCAGGTGGCACCCAGGTTCCTGGAAAAGCTGAGGATCCCCCTCTGCCACCACTAGGGCATAGAGCTGACCTGTGGTTCATCACTTACGCCACCCCAGTGCCCGGCACCTGCCCGGGCAATGGCTCAGGGGGCCAGGAATCACTGGTTAATTGAATGAAAAATCCTTTCAAGGTGTTCTGACCCAGTCCGCTCCCGAAAGGCCCCACTTTGATCAGTAGGGTCTTCTGGTTGCAGGTGGTCCTAGGGCTTGTTTATTAAGGTAGGATCCGCCCAGAAGTTGGCAGTTCCTACTAGCCTCTCAAAGGCTCACTTGTATCTCTCTCCCTGCAACCTTTGCTTAACTCCCCATATCCACAGCTACAATGGTTGTCTATCCAGTGGGGACAAGGGCCGCCGGCGAAGCCGCCTGGCACTGAACCGCAGGCCACATGCCAACGGAGTGAAGCCAGACGTCATGCACCATATCTCCACGCCGCTCGTCTCCAAGGCAAGCAGCTTCTCCCAGCAGACCCGGGTAGCGGTCCTGCCCTTGCTGCCCACACCCCACTGGAGCCCGGGAGCTCACTGTGTCTTTACTCATTGCCTCCTGGGCTGCCAGAGAAATGGTGCTGGTGGGAGAGCCTTTGCAGGGTGCACCGTCCTTTCCAGTTTGCGAAGCATTTCCTTCACCACCAGACGCCATCCACTGGACAGTTAGCAGCATTATGTATTTATTTATTTAATATTTGTATTGATTTCAGAGAGAAAGAGAGAGGGAGAGAGAGATAGAAACATCAACGATGAGAGAGAATCATTGATCAGGTGCCTCCTGCACGCCCCACACTGGGGATCTACCCCGCAACCTGGGCATGTGCCCTGACTGGGAATCGAACCGTGACTTCCTAGTTCATAGGTCAGCACTCAACCACAGAGCCACGCCAGCCGGGCAGCATTATTTTATTTTATTTTTAATAAATTTTTTTATTGATTTTAGGAAGGGAGAGGGAGAGAGAGACAGAAACATCAATGATGAGAGAGAATCATTGATTGGCTGCCTCCTGCATGCCCCCCACTGGGGATCGAGCCTGCAACCTGGGCATGTGCCCTTGACTGGAATTGAAAACAGGGATCCTTCAGTCCACAGGCTGACGCTCTATCCACTGAGCCAAACCAGCGAGGGCTAATTTTAGAGGCAGCCCAGGGTCAGAGAGGGGACATGAGAGTCACACAGCAATGACAAAGGAAAAGCCTTTGGGTTAGAATCAGGGCTCTGCTCTTTCCTGCTCCATGACTAGGCCAATTTCTTCTCTCTGAGCTGCTGTTCCCTCAGCTGTACAATGGGAGTGATAACCATGTCTCCTTGTTGGGGTGGCTGGAGCGAGCAAAGAAGGTAACCTGTGTGAATGCTGGCTGGGCCACACGCCTCTGCAAAGGGTAGAACCACCCTTCCCCAGGAGTGGCCGCTGGCCTCGGGCCCCAGCTTCTAGTTCAGAGGCTCACCCTTCTCATGGCCGCTCACTCTTCTTTTTCCCCGCCAGGCACTGAGTAACCGGGGCCAGCACAGCATCTCGTACACACTGTCCCGGAGCCATTCGGTCATAGTCGAATACACACATGACAGTGACACAGACATGTTCCAGGTATGCTCGGGCCCTTCCACACGCCTCCTGGCCACCAGCCTCAACGGTCGGCTCTACACACCTTCCAGGGGGAGGCTGGAGGACCGAAGGCCCTGGGGAAGGTGCTTTGGGGGCCTTAGTGCAGTTGACCTCTCTTTAGATGAGGAAGCAGGACATCCCAGCAAGGGTCACACAGCAGGTAGTCGCTGTATCAAGATTCAAACCCCAGACCGGACACCCCAGCTGTGGGAGGACATACAGTTTAGGGGTTCAGAGTGCTGTGTGAGAGTCACACCACCTGGCTCAGATCCCAGCTCCGTTGCTTACTAGCTTGGTGGCTTTGAGAAAGAGTCACCTACGCTCTCCAGGCCTTGCTTACCTCATCGCTCAGGTGGGGCCCAGAATAGTACCCACCTGAGGAGTTATTGGGAAGATTAACTGAGATATGGCACAGAAAATGCTTAGCCAGGAGCCTGGCATATAATAAACACTACAGATTCATTAGTTGCTGCTAATATGTGAGCACTTCCAGACCATGGCTATCACCCTTTCACTGTGCAGTCGGCAAATCGGCTAGTTTTTATTGAGGGGGATGCTCCCCAGAGCTTTGGGGGAGGTGAGGGAGAAGCCCTGGACCTTAGCAACTGGACTTGGAGCTCCCCGGGGACTTGAGATGGTGCTGCCCCCTCATTATTGGGTGACTCTGCATGCAGAGCAGCTACCAGGAACCCCGGGGGTGGGAAGCCGGGGGACTGACCTGTACACATGGCATCCCTGTGCTTGCCTTCCCCTTCCTCACAGATCGGCCGCTCCACAGAGAACATGATCGACTTTGTGGTAACAGACACGTCTCCTGGAGGAGGGGTGGCCGAGGGCCCCTCTCCCCAGAGCACCATCTCCCGCTATGCCTGCCGCATCCTGTGTGACCGCAGGCCGCCCTATACTGCCCGCATCTATGCCGCCGGCTTCGATGCCTCCAGCAACATCTTCCTTGGAGTGAGTGAGCCCCAGGCAGGGCCCAGCGCTTCATCTGAGAGTGAGCTGTGGGGTAGGCTGGGGAGGGGCAGCATCCTGGGGTGATGGACCAGCCCTCAGTAATCATAACTATGACCTATACAGGGCTTAGCACCCCACTTAACCAATGAGCAAAGTGAGGTTCAGAGAGGTCAGATGACGTCCAAGGTCAGGCAGCGCCAACGTTAGTCCCCTCTGGGCTACCTGTGACCTTGAGGATAGAGGGACAGCCCCCCTGGCTCATGACCTGCTGGGGGGCCACTTGAGGGTGTGGTCTGATCCCACGTGTGGTCCCAGGAGCGGGCAGCCAAATGGCGGACCCCCGATGGCCTGATGGACGGCTTAACCACCAATGGGGTCCTGGTGATGCACCCAGCGGGCGGCTTCTCTGAGGACTCGGCCCCAGGTGTCTGGCGGGAGATCTCAGTCTGTGGGAACGTCTATACTCTGAGGGACAGCCGCTCGGCACAGCAGCGGGGGAAGCTGGTAGGTGGTCTGTCCCCTCCCTCCCTCCCCGCGCAGTCATCCTTCCTGGGATCTCCAAATCTGCCCGTCCCCCTGCCCAAGCCAGGAGGTGGTGTCCAGTCCTCCTGCACGAGGGAGCCCCAACAGGCTCCAGGTGCCGCTTGCTGCACAGAGGGGACCAGGCTAACGTCCCCAAGTACCACCCTTGTTGGCGGTCAAGGAAGTGGAGCACACACAGGCACGCCATGCAGTACCAAATGGCTTGCAGTGGTTCTCAACCTTCTGGCCCTTTAGATACAGTTCCTTACGTTGTGACCCAACCATAAAATTATTTTCGTTGCTACTTCATAACTGTGATGTTGCTACTGTGATGAATCGTCATGTAAATATCTGATATGCAGGATGGTCTTAGGCGACCCCTGTGAAAGGGTCGTTCGACCACCAAAGGGGTCGCGACCCACAGGTTGAGAACCGCTGGCTTAGAGTCTGCCAGCAGCGGAACAAAATCACACGCTCTTATGAGAGTGACACTTGGCCCATGTGTGAGCAGTTTACAGCCTAAAGTGTTGGCAGTTGGTAACGTGTCTGTCACATTCAGACGGGTTTAGCTTTATTATCCTCTCCCAGCGGGAGGGCCTATGGAGTAGTTCTGATGCAGGTGACAGCGAATGCTCCATGTGGTCCGGATGGGAAACTAACATTAGGAGCTGGGAGAGGGTCATGTGGCCAAGTTCCTCAATGGGCAATGCAGAGCTCCTTCTGGGGATGAGCGTGTCGGGCAAGGAAATGCAAAACCTCAAGGGAAAACGTGGCTTATCCATCCAGAGCATCAATTCTACTGGGAGGTTTGGGGAAACATTATTTTTAAAAATTATGCACGCGAATGTGTCACTACCATTCGCTGAGTTCCAGGCACGTTCCAGTTTACATTGATTGACTCATGAGAACCACTTGACATACAGGAAAGTGGAATCCATCTGGAGGGTAAGGAAGTGAAGACACAGAAAGGTCGAGTCACTCCACCAGGCACACAGATGTAGTAACTGGTGAGGCCAGAAATCACACCCAGGCAGTCTAGCTCTAGAGTCCGGGCTTTAACCCAGCCTTTGGGCTGCTGTGGGCTCAGTCCCCAGAAATAGAAGAGTTTCCTGCCTCTGCCGCTAGGGGGGAGCCTGGGAAAACTCCGTTTGGGTCCAGACCTGATTTGACGGATGAGGTAACCAAGGCCCACACTGTTGAGTGAGGGACCCTGGGAGCACCTGCCAGCCCTCCTTCTGAGATGGTGCTGCCTGCTTCTTGGTCCTGCCCCCTCCTCTGCCCCAACCCTCCCCTTCTCTGTCCCAGCCACACCCCCTCCCCCCAGCCTGCTCTGACAGTCCAGGGTGCCCTCTCCAGGGAGGTTCTGTGGGATGGATGGGTGGCTAGTCTGGGGAGAGGGCTGCCCGATGATAGGGGCGTGGGGGCCTCTTGGGCAGTCAGGCCCTTCTGCTCCCCTGGCAGGTGGAGAACGAGTCCAATGTGCTGCAGGACGGCTCCCTCATAGACCTGTGCGGGGCCACCCT